GGGTTCATTGGTACACTCCATAAATACCTTAATCAGGAAACCCTCAATTGAGACCCCTTTGCTCTGTGGGTGCAGAAGCCAGGCACACAGGAAGAATGGCCACACAGTCTGGTTGCTTTTCTAGAGCAGAATCTGTCCTGTGCTACAGGGCTGGGGTGGATGGAATACAGCAAGAGAGGAGAAAAGTGAAGAACCTAGGTCCACCAAGGGAAGGGGACCATTTCTGGCAAAGGATTCCTGTTTCTTCTTGTGCCTAGACAACTGTAAGCTCATTTAGCTCTGTGAGGACCCTAACCCAGTCACCAGGGGAGAGCTCCCATGGAGACCACACACCTGTGCAGAACTCACACCTGCAGTTCCTCTGCCATATATGTTTGGATCTGTAGCTGACCAGTCAGAAACCTTTGCTAGAGAGTAATGTTTGGGATGGACTGATGGAAGCTGGAGAATTGCTGGCTAGTTCATATCCCTCCAGAAAGGAGTACTTTAAACTTTTCTAAGAGAGAGATACAGAACACTCATGTGTTTATTAGTCCAAGTGCTAATGTCTAAGACATGCAGAACTGAGTCCATGAAGAGTCTTGCAAGTCAGAAACATAAATCCTGGCCATGATGTATGTTCAAAACTAAAAACTTAACAATCTCAAGCAGTAGACCCATTGATCTTTTTAGGGTTTCCACTTCCAGAGAAAAGTGACATAACTTTCTTCCTAACCTAGGACCATGAATGCCACCAAATGAGGCAGAGATAACACACACCCATACATGCAGAGGGGCATAAAGATGGCACCAAAGCACGTGCTACATGCAGTTCTCATGGAAATGAGCAAGACGCAGACTTCCCTTCGAGTCCACAGCACCTGCACCATGCATGGAAATGGCCTATTTTTGTTAGGAATGGAGGAGAAATGAAAGGAGGGTTCTATCTAGCTACAGTTTTCATTTTGGAGGATGGATGTATGACAGAGTCTCACATCCAGGGAGTGAGGCAGGGCTCCTAATCTCAAGCCCATGACCCAGGTAACTCAGGGAAGGCCCTGAATCTTTTAGAAAAGTCAGTCCCCAACTTCACTCATTCTATAAACTTGAAATAGTATATGTGAGGTGTCCTTTGACCAAGGGATCCAACAGATGGTTGTGCTGAATGACAAATTTATGCAGCCATCTTGGTGCTGGTGAAGAAAGAACTTTGGCCACCACCTGTTTAATAGCACCAAGGAGCTCCAAAAAGAATGTGGCAAGAGTGCAAGATGCCACTGCACAATTTAATGCTTTTAAACAGTCTTTTGTCTGTTTAGAAGTCGATGGCCTCTGAATTATTAATCCAATTGAGGCAAATGATTATATCACACTATAACGTGGTAGGGGGTGTCATCTTGTCATGACAGCTGCTGCCCCGGGCTTCTCGGTTGTACAAAACATTGAAGAAGAATCAGCAAATTCAATTTCACCTTGCTTAAGCATCTTGGACCAAATCATGAATCCTAAAGCGCGCATGTTTTATTCAGTTTCTTTTCTCTGCACACTATATTAGGAAGGAAAATCACACTGCTCTAGGCTCTAACTGTAAAAGACATCATTATCGGAACAGGGAAAGAAGGTAGGAGATGCAGATCTTCAGGGGATAAGTGGGGAAGATAGTAAAAAGTTAGAAGACTCCCTGTGAGGCCCCTGCAAGCTGGGAAAGCCCCACAGAGCTCAGGGGCAGTCCCTTCTGTCCATCACACCCTATCCAAGGGTTTACAAGCTGGGCTTTATCAGACCCATGGACACCCTGAAACCTAACACAAAAATACATTCATATATGAGACTGATCCAGAGGGAAAGCCCATAATAGCCACCAGCTTTCCTAATCCCCAAAAGGTCACACCAATGGGATCTGTTATCTGTCAACTACACTCTGAGTGACCCCTCCGGTTGGGCCCCTGGTGTGACCCGTGCAGGTCCCCACAACCTCCCGACCCGGCCCAGCACTCAGCTGCTCCCTCTGCCCCTCCTTGGCCCCCTCCTCTCCTGCAGACTGGCCTTTCCTGGACTTTGCCCTGCGGGATAGACATTTTTCCACTTGCCACAAGCCAAACTGCATTCCTCCCATCATTCCAACACCCAGCTCGGAGAATGTTTTCTATTAAAGAGTGTCTTCGACTAGGTAACAATTGATATTCCAATTCCCCCCAGTGGGCACAAGGACAACATTCTAAATCACTCTCCTCTCCCCTCCTTAGTCCCCAGCCTTCATCCTCAAGAGTTCTGCTAAACCCTAGAGAACACAGAACACACGTACTTGGTGTCCTACAACGTCACTCACACAGACCTCTGCAGCAGTGGCTCCTTGAAAACAAGGCGTCAATAATGGAATGAAAACTCTACACAAACACCCAGGGTTATAACAGCCATTAATAATTACAATTAAGTAAGCACTTCCTACATGGGAGTTACTGGCCTAAGTGTTTTTACATTTATCTTATTTAATCCTTACAACCCACCCATTAATTTATTCATGGAGCAAACATTTATTAAGCACCTCTTGTGTGCTAGATACTCTTCTAGGTGCTGAGGATACAGCACTGAATTAAAATGGAAAACCTTCCCTCTCTACAAGCATAGATGTTAGTGGGTGTAGGCAGACAGTGAATAAATCAATAAGTAAATGTTTAGCATGCCAGGCGGCGATGAGTACTGAAAGGGAAACGCAGCCCAGTGATGGGACGTGGAGTCCTGGAGAAAGGCCTCCCTGACGAGGTGGCCTGTGAGCAAAGAGGGGAAGGAAGCGAGGTAGCCACCGCGACCCCTGGGAGCTGCAGGCAGAGGGACGAGCAGAGTGGAAAGGCTCTAGGGGAAAGTGTGGTTGGTGTGACTGAGGAACAGCGAGGAAAATGTGGCTAAAGCGAAGGTACATTCTGTGCAACTCCCCAGTGTGTATCTGGGAAAAATGACAGTGAAGTGGCTCAGTGGTGGAACCTCTAAAGAGAAATGTCTACATCCTAACCCCAAAATATATAATGAAACCTTATTTGGAAAAAAAAAAGTGTCTTTAAAGATGCCATTAAGTTAGGGATTTCAAGATGAGGTCATCCTGGCTTGGCCAGATGGACCCTAGAATCTCCAAAGGGAGTGTGACCCTGACGACAGCTTGATTTCAGACTTCTGGACTCCAGAATTGGTATAGAACACATTTCTGCTGTTTTAAGCCATCAGCCCTAGGAAACTAATACAGAGAGGTTAAGTAAAAATGGCCCAAATTACAGAGCTCACTGGTGGGCAAACTGGCACTTGAATCCTGGCAACTGAGCATGAGGGTACCCTTAGAGACACCATTCCTGTGAATATACTGGCTCTTGTGATCGTGGGGTACACTTATATTTAAGGGTTGGCCTCTGGCACTAAGTAATTGCCTAGGTTTCTGGGCTTGCCTGGCCTGCTCCTAGAAACAGCCAACCCTTTTCTGAGACGTGGGATGCCAGGAATAGCTGTTTTCCAATATAAGAACAGGATTTTCTGGCTTATTTCATGATTTGACCACGCAGACAGCAAAAAAGTGAGGCTTAAAGTATCACACAGCATCAACTGTGCTTGGGCTTGAAGGAAGGTTTCTGAGGCTCTAATTCCCCAGGAAGTACAGCGTGAGTGGAAATAGTCACGCTTTGATCTGTTAGAGGCACCCTGGTTACTTATACTTCTGCCAATTTTCACTGAGCAGCAAAATTAGGTTTTAGACATCTTGTGCAAATGGAGGCAGGCCTCAGTCGATATGAGCAATTAACCCCTAAATATTTAATAGATACTACTACTGCTCCCTCCTCCTTAGAGAGATCTGGCTAGTTCATTGCAAACAAACAGGTCAGGTGAAGAAGCATCGCAAGCCCCAGACCCCTTTGCTCCAAAACCCCTGGAAATCCTCAGGACAGGGCTCTGGGTTGACGATGCAGCCAGATGCATAGCCTTTTGTGAGAGCCTCCTCCCCAGTACTCACATGTGACAAGGTGAATGGGATCAAATGCACAACCCCGCAAGTCTCACGAACATAAGCACACAGGCTGATGAACTCACTATGTCCCGTGTGACCGCATGTCAGAGTGGACGTATGGGCGTGTGTATGTATGAGAGGAGCTGCATGCAAAGGTGTGCACACGGGTGTTCCCTGTCCAGAGGAACTCCTAGCTTTGTGGCTTCATTAAAGTCCTCTCTGACTCAACTTCCCCACGTCCCCCTTCTCCCTTGTCCCCGGTGGCCCAGCACTGCCATCACACGTGACTCATCCGCCAGGCACAGGAGGTACAGTGCTTAGTCTCATGGTACTCTTAGGGGTCCCAAAAGAGTTTTACTTTTTTTTTTTTAGAATCAAAAGGAAGAATAAACTTTTAGGCTTAGAAGTGTTTTAATATATGATATTAATGTATTTGTCTTTCTACCAATGCAGTGGTAAAATATACCTTTTAATATCATTTGTGGGGAAAGGGGCCCAGGAAGGCAGGAGTGCCTAGGGATCACGAAATCATCATGCGCACTTGAGTCTGTATATCCACGCCCACGTGTACTGTTCCCACAGGCTCTGGCTTCTCAAGACCACAGCATCTAACACATGCAATGGCCTTCTAGATGCAAAGGCCTGGAGACAGCCCTTGGGCTGGCCAAGACTCACACTCAAGGCAAGAATCCCTCCCATAGCAGGCTTCTTTATCAAGGGTCCCTACTGGTTTAAGGCATGCTCATCTGATCTCTCTAGCCAGACCTCACCTTCTTCAAGTAGAATGGGACATTGCAGGAACTCAGAAGCAAGAAGAGTGCCAACATGGATGTGTGACAGCCCCCAAAGGAGGTAAGCAGAGCATAAGGAATTCACAGGTGGGGGCTGTCCAGTCCGCCTGAGGCATTAGAGCAGGCTTCCAGAAGCAGGATGATTTTCTGCTCCTTCCCAACCACACTTCCCAACATTTTACCTTGCACTTCTCACATGAGCGGAACCAGAGTAGCTCTTTAAGAATCTCTAATCCACTTACCTCCAAAGTGAACTCTCAGTCACGCTCCCCAGGTTGAAGTCATACAGCTTCGTCAGGATAAGTATGACCTGCAAGGGATTGGGGATGAGGGCAAAGGAGGGGAACAAAGGGGGAAAAAAGGAAGCTGACTTTAGTTTGTGTAACAATATACAATGCATCTCCTATCACCCAGAGGAGGGCTTAGTATTTATCCGTTGAGTTGAGGGGTATTATAGGATCAAGCAAGGGGAAAAAAGTTATTAATTTAATGCATCCCTGTAACTGGTAGCATTTATTTTAATCCCGACAGTGCTTTGCATTTGAAATAAAACATGCCAACAGGAATTAATTGGGTATTGACAGTTGTTTCCCCACATCTGTCCTCCTTCAAGGTCAGGCGCAGGCCAGCTGGCTTTGTTCACCACCAAGGCCACCCAGAAATCAAATGACGGGCTTGCTTCGGATCCAGACTTGACTCTGATTTACAGAATTGGATCAAAAAGGGTAATAAGGAACTGAGCTTGATTCTTTCTGTCTACAAAAGAGGTTCAAAAAGATTTCTTGTTTCCACCAACAGGGGCCTAATAGGCATAAATACCTGAATTGCAGGCAGGCCCAGTCCCCAGCATCCTCTGATCTGCCCCCACCATGGAGTCAGCAGATAATTGCACTGCTTACTGGACTTCGGGACCACTCTTTTGACTCCAGTGGAAGTCAAGTAACCAAGAAGGAAGTTGTACTTGTGCAGGAGCCGGAGTGGCCTATAATAGAGTTGGTGGTTTTCTGAACTGGTCTGGGGATGGTCAGTCTTCCCATGTCCTTTAAACTCCTCCAGGTGGAGACTTGGATACCAGACATTGCCCCGACCACCCACCACACATCTGGACAGAGGCTTAGGCACAACTCCGTATCTACAGAGATGCCAAGCGCATGCACCTGAATCGATTTTAATCAAAATGCAGGTGCATAATATACATCGCCTGCCTGCATGCGTGATAATCCAGTTACACATAATTGTGTTTATCTAAATTTAATGCACAACTCATTTCACTTTTCTCAGCTCCATCCCATTCCACAGTTTAACTTCCTCCAGTTCATTTTCACAGCAGCCATTAAACTCTCCACGATAATGAATTTCTGCTACCGAGATGGGACTTTCCCATTCAAGGTATCCATTTAAGATTAAAGAAAAATAATCAGCCATTATATTGAACATTTTCATGGCACTTAACTAACAACAAAATGCTCACTTTGAGATTTATTCTCATCCGGCTCTCCACGGGGTCAATCAGCCCCATTTCCATTTCTTCTATGTAAACTAAGAAAAAAATTAAAGACAAGGGATGTGATCCCATTATAGGTCAGAAGAGTATGTGGCCCTTATTCTGTGAGGCCCTTACTCATAGGTTTCCACCCACATTGTGTCCTGTGATGAGGAACAGCAGGTTGGCAAGAAATCTTATCAATGACATGGCAGTTTGCAGAACAGTATAATTTACCAAGGTATCTGTCCTGTTGCCATAGTACAACAGCAAAGAGTGTGCAACACTAGCACACATCAGTGGTGTGGCTATTTGTAAGAGCAGGAGAAAACACCAATGGCATGGCTATTTGTAGAACTGTAGAATCTACCAAGTCTTATTTCCACAGCACAACAGCGAGGAGTGAGTAACCTACATGAAGAATTGTTCTCCATGGTCACTCAGTGGTCCTTGTCTCTTCCATTCACAGCTAATTTTCTAATTTATTAAAGCCAGGGAATAACAAAGACAAGAGACTTGTCCATACCCTTCCCAACCAAATGCCCAGCAATGTGCCAGATCATTTCTGTTTACTGAATTATTATATTGGGTACACAGACACACACACACACACACACACACACAACAGAATCTTCTCCCCCCCCCTTCATCTGACCTTGTTTCATCTACAAAGTCATTTTCAAAGTCACCATGTAAAAGCATGGAAGGCTATGTACAGGCCATCCAAATTCTGGAAAAACAAGCTCAAAACTAAACTTTACTAAAACTGAGTTGGAACAACCACCTAGAGCTCTACAGAAGTTAGGCAGCCCACTTCATTTTTGCCCAACATGAACCCTACAGGGACACATCTTCAAAAAGTGCAAAAGCCACATAAAAAAAGAGAAAGATGTTGGTGGTAAGGCTTTCGCTTAATTAGCAGAGCTCCTAACAACTGGATCTGGAAAACCCTTCTCCTTACCAAAGCTTGGGCCATGTTCCTTTTTTCCCTCTCTCCCTCCATCTTTTCCTTCCTTCCTTCTACCCTCTACTGAATGACTATGATATTCCGGCCACTGGGCTACACATTGGGATACAGAAATAAAAGAGCCAGATTCTGCACTCCAGAAGCTCACAGTTTCCTGGGGAGGAAAACCCACACACACAAATGAGCAGTGAATTCCCTGCAGAGAGTGACAGGTGCAGAGGGAAGTGTGGGGAATTTGACGTCCCAAATCCACATTGAGGGCAAAGGAGGTCAGGAAAGGCCTCTTAAAGGTGAAGCCCAAACTAACACCTAAGAAGAGTAGAAACTAGTTAAAGGAGGATGAGGAGTTTCTCCACACAGATGAGGCACCATGAGCAAAGACTCAGAGACTCTGAAGATAAACCATCCAGAAGAATACGGTTAGACTTGTATTAATTTCTCCTTCCCCTAAGTAGCTGCCATGAGAATGCGCCTTTCAGATCTCAAACTGCAGGGAGCATAAACATCTTAGGATCCTAGCTCTCATGTTCTGAAATCTATCACTACCTTTTCGCCAAGTCCACACCTCCTAAGAGCAGCTCCCAGCCTATCACTAAGTGCCACAGGGTTACTAAGACAGACCCGTTTCTGGGCAATGGGACTCCTCTCATGGGTGACACTGACTTTGAGATTTCCTAACAAAGGCTGTTTGCTGCAGAACTTTCCAGAGAACTTCACTGCAGTCTGAGATGCTCCCAGACAACCACCTTCCTTCCTTGCCTGTCTCCCTCGCTGGGGGCTTGGGGGGAGTATCAGGCCTGCATCTCAGCCCAGCTGTTGTTCCAACCTCTTCCGGCCCCTTTTTGGTTTTCTCTCACAGGCAATTTTCCTAATTAGTTTCTTGGGCATCTAACCTCATCTTTGTGTCTGCTTCTTGGAGAATCCAGGCTAACACATTGTTCCATACCTGCATGAATATTATTTCTGCCTTTACGATAGATGGTTTCAATTTTACCTCTTACTTCATGCACTTTCTTGATCAGAAGCCTTTACTGGTTCCCTCTGCCAAAGGATGAAATCCAGACTCATCAGACTGGCATTTAAGGTGGTCCGCAGTCTGGCCTATGCATGCTTTTCCATCCCTTTTTCCAGTTTTCAAAAACCTGTCCTCTGCTTTAAGCATTCCAAGTTTCTCACAGTACTGCAGGTGAGCCAACCCTTCCTTGCACCTCTGCCTGAGCACTGCCTGGGCCCAGTCCTTTCATTACCACCTGTACTTGCCTGCTTGTTATTCTAGAAACAGCCCAAGGTCCACCTCCTTTTGGTAGCCTCCCAGGACAGTCCTCATGCCAGCCATCAAAATTCTCTCTTCTGAGAGCCGATTTTGCTTAAAACTGAGTCACATAAGTGACCACTTAGTTATACACTATCTTGATAGTTTCTGGACATTATTGTGGTTGCCTTCTCCACTAGATTCTGAACAACTTGAGGTGGGAATCATGTTTTGTCCTTCTGTCTCCTTCACAGATAGGCTCAGCATATTGAAGGTCCTTATAAAATAATTATTTTTGAGTCAATGAAAGATATTGATGTTCTAGTGGCAAACAAGACTGCAGCAGGAGATGGTGTGAAGCTAGTCCACTCCCCTCTTTTTATGGAAGAGGAAATGGAGGCCCAGAAAGGGGGCATGATTCAAGGTCAAGTCCCAGCAATGCATGACTTTGACCAAGTGCCCCAAGGTAGTGCTCTTCCCACTCCATGAGTGAAGCTGGAGCCTAATAGTCACTGGGGAGCCTGTTAAATGCAGATTCTCGGGGCCCACCCCCAGCAAGTTTGACTTCATAGATCAGAAATCTTGAGGCCACCACTTTGAGAAAGACTCTGCAGTACCGTGATTCTTCTCCCACCTGAGCTGCAACAGCACCACCCATTCCACCACGGCGAGACCCTGATCTGCCAACGCACCCCTTCCTTCACCTTGACTGTAACCTCACAAATAAAGCAGGCGGCAGCACACACACAAGGGGATACCACAGCAAGGCCACACCAGCGTCCCCCAGAGGAAAGGTCAAAACACGGAGGAATAGGGGCTGGAAGCTTCCTTTCCCCTGGAGCCCAGCACAGAAGGACATTAATAGAAATGTGAAGAGATGGTAATGTAACCTTTAGGCTGAAGACATTCTATACCAAACAAACAAAGCCAAGAGCATGAGAAAGCCTGCCCAGCCCGCCTCTCCCATCACCCAGAGCCTTTTAAAGGCTACCTGGGAGGAGCAAATGACCAGGGAAGAAAATTGAAAGCAAATGCAGTGTGCCCACCTAGCCCACCTAACCTACCCCGCTCAGATCAGAGAGAAGAGACGAGAGTGTTCACAGGGGCCCAGTGGGTGGGTATGGCATGCAAAATGCAGTGAGGCCGGTCCCAGAGCCACAGAGACTGATTTGACGCCCCTCCAGCTGATGCCCCACTATGCCAATGGGCAGTCAAATTCAAAAAAGGAAAAACAGGGGCCAAACATTAATTGAACCCCTACTATGTGCTAAATACTACACTCAGTGACCCTCAACCCTCACAACAAACCTTTGAAACAGAGTGGGTATTGGGTAATATCCCCGTTTTACAGATAAGGGAACAGAGGCCCAAGAGATAAGCAAGTCACCCCCACAGCACACAACCAGCAAGAGAAAGAGGCAACCATCCCACCCAGGCCTGCCCCTTCCAGTTCGTTCTGCTCTGATGCAAAGCTCTTCCACTCAGCAAATGTTCGAGTGGGCTTGTGTGCAGGGCAGTGGATGGGAATAAGAGAGGAGAAAACATGCCCTTGCCCTCACTGAGTTTATCACTCATTGATGAATTACACAAATATTTACTGAGCACCTCTTGCATGAATTAGAAAGGCACCTGCTAAACTCCAGGAGTCAGGGAGACACTCAAAGCTCAAGGCCCAGAGGTGAAGTTAACTTTTGTTTTCTCTGTTCTTAGAGGAAGAAATAGGAAACAGAAACGTGTAATGAGGAAAGAACTAGACAAATTGTTGGGAGATCCCACTTTGCCAAATAAGCTTTGTCAAATAAATACCTTTTGACCTAACTGGCTATAATCCTGGGGGGATTTTAGATAGCAGGAAAAATGAAAATAAATTGGAATAATTCATGAGTCACCAGCACTGCTCTCCTTATAAGCTATATATGTACATATGCACACACACAGAACAGGAGAGAAGTCTCTATGTATGTGTGCGTTATATATAAATATAGCTGAAAAAGCATATTTATGAAATTATATATATAGGCACATATAACTTTATTTTAAATTGGCATCTGACATCCTCTCTGGAATAACACTGTTCGTACATCTCTTACAGCTTTTATCACACTGGGTGAATATGACTTCTCCCGATATCTGTCTTCTCTGTGAGACTGTGATTTCTGTAAGGTCAGAAATTAGGTCTCGTTTGACTCTGCATCCCCAGTGCCTTGCACAATGCCCGACACATGGCAGATGCCATACAAGGTCCTATGGCCAAATTATAAATGCATGGCAATAAAGGAAGGGATGAGATGACAAATGTATGAGAGAGGTGTGGATAATGTGCTGGAAGAGTTGGAAACAGGAATTAAGTCCAGAAAATGTGATCAGCAAAGTCTTATGAAGGAGAGTTATGTGAGCAGAACCATAAAGCATGTTAAGAATTTGGATACATGGATAGGGAGCTTGCCTGCCTGACTGCTTTACTTCTCTCTCTCTTTCTCTTTAAATTGGACAGAAGTAGATAGAAAATAGCAAGTAGGGGCACTGTCCCAGTTGTGAGCAGCATGGAGGCAGAGAAAGAACTAGACAAGTTGCTTTATCAAATAAGTACCTGTAAGACCAAGCGTCACAGCATGCTACTGCATGAGTCTGAGCAACCCATGCACATCTTCAGAATTCACTCCATTTCCCTGAAGTGGGGTAATGACACACTTCCCCCTGCCAAGCTCACAGAGTTGCTGATTCACATCAAATAAGGGAACCCAACCTGCTTTATAAACTGTACTAGGCAAACATCAGTTCCTAGCAATGACAACTATTCTTCAGGAGACAAGGGCTTCCAGTTACCCTTATTTAGAGGAAGGGGTTCGGATTCTAGGAGCTGGTAAGCTCCTTCTGAAAAATGTCCATCCATTCTCGACCTTAATTGCAATGTAGGAAGCTGCAAATCAGAATCAGTGTTCACCTGGCTGCTCTACTCAGCTGTGGAAGGCAGGCGGACGCCCCGGGGGATTCCTGTCCTCTGAAAGGATAATGCGTAATCTGCAAATTCATAAATCACTAGGACGCTCTGGCCCGTGAGCACATTCAGTGAAGTGAGGACCTTTAATGCCTGTAAAATTTTACTCTGAAGGAAAATTACTTTAGTTCATTAAACCTTCCTGAAATCATGGTGCCTTTAAATCCATGGGGCTCTCTGCACATCCCCTGCAGCTCCCCCTCACCACTTACCATCTCCGTTCTGCCTCGACCTGATAGTTCTTTGCTTCCAGCTCACTGGAATAGGGACACACTGGCCTTTTTTGCCAGGATTAGTCCACCATGGTAACATAAACAGGATGCTAAAACACACACCTCAGGAACTGCCTACAAGACTGTATTTTAAGTCTCACCAACCCCCCCTTGCGAGTCCTGGCATCTTCCTCCCACGTAGAAGAGCCTCTTCTCCAAGGAGTAGAAACTGAATATCCATAGTCCAGAGTCCAAATGACTCACAGCACGAGAATATCCCAGCACCTACTGGGTGTCCAGAATAATATGGATGGTGCTCCCTGCCCAACATGAGTTTACAATCTAGTTGGGAGGACCAGGAATTAGTACAAGAGATATCAACCTTGTCAGTATATCATGCATGAAATTCTGCAAAACTGCGAACCCCCTTCCCTAGTTTGTTTATGAGAATATCATCAACTCTGTGGTTCAAGACAGACCTCAGTATGATTCCTTCCTCATCTCATACCGCAAGCAAACACCGAGTTTCCCGAAATGTGTTACGGTCTATTTCAGGTCCTCATAATTTTTTCATTCAGTCATCAAACTAATATATGTGGAATGTTTCCTTTCTGCCAAGTGCTGTGGATTCAGCAGTGTAGAAAACTAATGAGCTTCTTTGCCCTCATTCAGTTTATATTTTAGCAGAGGAGACAAACAAATAGGTAACTGGTATAGTAATCAGATGGCAGTGAGTGCTATGAGGAAAAACTAAGCAGAAAATAAGAGAAATAATATGAAATAAGAGAAATAATTCAGAGAAAATGCTAACATGCAGAGGTGGGCCTGAGGAGGATGAAAATAAAGAGCCCAGGAAAGGCCTCTAGGAGAAACTGGCACTTGGGTAAAATTCTGAATGAGGTGAGGGATCCTCACACGTTTCCTGGGTAAGAAATATTACAGGCACCAGAAGCAGGAAATGCAAGATCTGAGGCAGAGGTGCTTGCTCCTGGCATGTTCAAGGAACAGCAAGAAGTTAATGAAGCTGAAGATAAGGTCAGGGAGATATTGGGAGGCTAAGATCTTACTGGGCCTTGTGAACCACTGTAAGGACTTTGGTGCCTACTCATGTGAGATGGAAAATCACAAGAGGATTTAAATATAGTATTTAAGTTTTAACAGGATTACTCAGGTTGCTGTGCTTAGAAAGGCAGTGAGGGGACAAGAGTAAATGAAGGGCCTACTGTAATCAGCCAGGTAAACATGGTGTGGACTGAAATGTAATCAACCAGCGGAACACAGTGTGTATTGGACTGTAATCATCCATGGGAACATGGTGTGGATCGGACTGTAAGGACCAGGGGAACATGGTGTGGACTTGACTGTAATCACTCAGGGAAACATGGTGTGAATTGGACTGTAATCATCCAGTGGAACAAGGTGTGGGTTGGACTGTAATCATCCAAAGCAACATGCTGTGAATTAGACTGTAATCACCCAGGGAAACATGGTGTGAATTGGACTGTAATCATCCAGTGGAACAAGGTGTGGGTTGGACTGTAATCATCCAAAGCAACATGTTGTGGATTAGACTGTAATCACCCAGGCAAACATGGTGTGAATTGGACTGTAATCATCCAGTGGAACAAGGTGTGGACTGGAATGTAATCACCCAGGGGATCATGATGTAGACTGGCCTATAATCATCCAGGGGAACATGGTATGGACTGGACTGTAACCAACTAGGAAAATATGGTGTGGATTTAACTGTAATCAACCAAAGGAACATGGTGTGGAAAAGACTGTAATCAACCAGGGAAACATGGTGTGGATTGCAATGTAATCATCCAGAGAAACATGGCGTGGGCTCGACTATAACCAACCAGGTGAAACATGATGTGGATTAGACTGTAATCAGGCACAGGAACATAGTGTGGATTGGACTATAAGCATCCAGGGGAACATGGTGTGAACTGGACTGTAACCAACCAGGGCACCATGGTATAGACTGAACTGCAATCATCCAGGGCAAAACAGTGTGGACTGGACTGTAATTAATCAGGTGAACATGCTGTGGACTGGACTGCAATCATCAAGGAGACCACGGTATAGGTTGACCTGTTATCATCCAGGGGAACATGGTATGGATTGGACTGTAATCAATCAGGGAAGATGGTGGGGATTGGACCAGAGCAACAACAGTTGGGGGAGGGGTCAGGAGAGATGAAAAGTGGCAGGACTTAAATATATTTTGAAAATAAGGCCAAGAAGATTTGCTCACAAATTGAATATGCATTGTGAACAAAAGAGAATAGTCAAGGATGACCCTCAGCATTTGGACCTAAGTGACTGGAAGCATAGAGTTGTCATTTTATAAGATGAAGATTGTAGGAGAAGGTTTGGAAGAAAGATTAAAAGTTCAGATTTGGACATTAAGGTTGAAATGCCTATGAGACATTCAAATGGAGAAGTCAAATAGCAAGCTGGACAAAGGAGTCTGGAGTTCAGGGAAGAGAGACAAGCCTAGAAATATCAATTTTGGAGTTGTCAGTGATTAGGTGGAATCGTAAGACATGAGACTAGATTCAATCGCCAAGAGGCAGGGAATGTGGGTAGAGGAAAAAATATGAGGATTGAAAGCTCAGGCATGTTAGCATTTAGAGATCAGGAAATTGAGGCAGGAAAAAAAGTCTGTTTGGACCTCTCAAAATTGGCACAGTAGATATTTGTGCCCTATATGAATGCTCAACACACAGTGCTCACTACACACAACATGCTCAACAACCAGAGGGACAAGATGGCATCTTTTGTTGAGACCGTTAAGGCTCTTTCCCAGACACCCCTGAGGCTACCCTGTGAGCTCCAGAGTAAAGTGGCCATTGTGGCAGAGATGGAAGCTTTGCCCCGACTCAAC